CAAAATAACGACTTTATTGCACATTTTCGTCTCTACTGCGTCACTTGTACTGCCGCCACACGCTCGCGTCATGGTACTGTCGTGAATGCGCGTCCAAAGTGACGCAGTAGAGATGAAAATGTGCAATAAGTCGTTATTTTGGTTTTCTTGGCGCAAAAAAGTATTCTCGTAGCTTCGTAACTTTACAGTTGAACCACTGATGTCACACGGACTACTTTGTCGATCATCTTGGTACTTTTCTGGACCTTGAATGTGGTAGTTACCTTGCTGTCTATGGGAGGGTCAGAGAGCCCTTAGATTTCATAAAAAATATCTTAAATTGTGTCCCAACGATGAACGAAGGTCTTACGGGTTTTGAACAACACGAGGGTGAGAAATTAATGACAGAATTTTCATTTTTGGGTGAACTATCCCTTTAAGTTTAAATATTCTACCAGCTTTTTCACTTTCTTTAAAGCCTGAATTCTTTTGTCCTTGTGTGGGTCCACTTCCCACATGTATTTGAGTTGCAATTTTGATATATTACTTGCATATACTGTATATATATTAGTGTTACTGTTTTGAGTTGTTTGTTTTAACTTAAGTGTTACATAATGTGAAGCTGTTAAAAAATTGTCATTGATTTGTTGAATGCATGATATTGTGGGTTTATCTGAATGTGGTATGATTATACCACAATAATGGTGCAGCAGTTGAACACACAGGAAACATAGCAGACAGTGTATATAGACTCTGTGATCTCTGCCCATCCAAAAATGCTGGGAAAGTGCAATCCCATAAATGCGCCGATGGGAGAGTAAAGATCTGCGGCTGAGCAAATTAAAGAATACAGACACAGATAATTTCCACAATAACCAACACGATCTACCAAGAGCTGTGCAAATGAGCGTAAGCTCGCAAACAAGCAGAGCCGATGATAATCAGGTGTGTGCAATCTACTAGAAACAGGTGCAGAATGAGTTAAGACCTGCTTTTTGGGGCGGCGGTAAATAATGGCTCATATACCAGTCAACTGACTAGCGCAAACCTTAGTAAATCACATTGCATGATTTATTTAAGTACTCTCCTCCCATGAATTTTGTGTCTGAACGGGAACTCCTACAAATGCAGTAAAGTCAGCCACACAAATAACTATCCACGCCTTTTCATGTCTAATTTGTCACTGTGTGTCTTTAGCAAATCCTGACAGTAGTTTTTTTAACACCAAAAGAGGCTTTGCACTGGTACAGTGTTAGTAAATCTGGCCATTATTTGTTAATAAGTTTGTGAAGCTCCCAGGGTTTTGTTGAAGCTTCTTTGTTGTTTTGGCCCTGTTTTTTGTTCTTGTTTTTCTGAAAAATAAAAAAAGATAATCATTAGGTTCCTACACAGTATGGAAAAGTATGGAATTTGATTTGAGTATTTTCCAGGTCTGGAAAAATAAGAAAACAGAGTATGGAAACATTTTTGTGTTTCCAGACTGTGGCCCCTATTCTGTTTTCTAAAATATAAAATGCATAATTTCTAAAAAAAAAAAAAAATGTATCAAGCAGAGTGGTTTGCATGAAAAAGTGTGGAAGCATATCAAACAAAATCCTACATTTTCAGCTGAGCAGAATTATGAATATTTATAATCAGGTGTGGCCATTGCCCTGTGCTTGGTGGATTTTTAGCCTCATTCCATTCCTGATGGATCATTTTGCACTGAAAAGTACTTTTTTTAGAATTAAAAAGACACAGTTGTACGTCTTATGTAATTAAAACTAACATTCAAATTGAACTTTTCTTCATTCAGGCTTGTTTGTAGTAGTGTTGTCAAAAGTACCAGTATGTTGGTACCAAGTCAGTCTGAAATCTTAAATATGTAAATATGCCTCTGTGTAGGAACCCTGAGTTATCCACACAACATAAACATGTGTGTGTCTCTCTGTTGATTTGTTCTGAATGATACATGCCTTATAGGCAGTATTTATTTTACGGTACATGCTCTTAGGTGTACTTACAGTATACTCATCTTAGAAGGTTCTGGGTAATATGAGGTATCTACATGAGTTAAGGTTAGGTTTAGGGGTCGGTCGAGGGGTAGTACCGAATTATTAACCCATTATTGTAATTACTATAATAAGAACATGTACATGCAAGACTGTATAATAAAGAGCTAGCAGTTTCACCATAAACAATGTAAATGCAGGTGCTTTAATTGTAAGTACAATGTAACAAATGCACCCAAGAATTGTATCAAATGCATAATTTGATACAATTCTTGCACCTGACAAGTGAGTCCATGTGCTATTATTAGTCCTTATTTGGACTCGTAGCCTTGTTAAATGTCACTGTGCACTATTATATTATGTTTATGTGTAATTCCTAGATAAAGACTGGGAAGATATCCGGAAAATGCCAGAATATCCGACTCTACAGAAAGATTTCAGAAGAACCACGTGAGTGCGGGGCTCTGTTCCAGAGTAACACCAAATGTATTCTCAACAGCAAAAACAAAATGAGTGTTGATTTTATGTCATGGTTTATATTTTTTTTCGTGTGAGTGTTTTCTAGCTCTGTATACAGAAGAACAGCAAGACAGTTCTGTACTGTTTGAACACAGCTGACTATGTATTATATTTTGTGGAGAGATGTGCATATATAGTGATTCTTTTGATGTGTTTTACAGATATGCCAACAGCAGTCTTATCAAATACATGGAGAAACATAAAGTCAAGCCAGACAGCAAAGTGTTTCTACTGGTGAGTCTATTGTACACTTGTTTCAAATTGTATATGGAATCAACTTTGACTTATATAAAAGGGATACAGTACTGTGCAGACATCTTGGACACATTATATGCTTCACAAAAACATTAGTTTTAAGATGGTTACTTATTTAAATCATTTGCTTCAGTGTTGCAGTATGAAGTTTCAATTTTAGACATTCCTCTTCCAAATATTACAAAAATCCAAGAAGAGTCATTCTTGGATTACTTGAAGATATATAAGAAATTTTGTTGTTTTCCTGCACTGTTTTGGAGTGTTTCTTACATAAAAAAAACAAACATTTAAAGTTTTGTGAAATAAATAGTTATGTCATCGATCTATTTGTTTAATATCTGTTAGTTACACTATTGAACGGCTGCGTGTCCATACATCCATTGCCTGATCGTGGCTTCCTGAACACCAACTAGTCAACTAATCACTAAACTAAACTAGTCAACTAATCACCAAACTAAACTAGTCAACTAATCACTAAGTAAAGCCCACCAACTCTATTATGTGAATTTGCACATCTTTCCCACAGTAATTAATATAATCTAATCTAGCTCCAGAAATTGCTGACTATGGACCCCACCAAAAGAATCACTTCTGAGCAGGCACTGCAGGACCCATATTTCCTGGAGGATCCCTTACCTAATCTCAGAGGAGAAATCTCAACGATCAAAAGTATGTGGACACCACAACCATATGTGCTTGTTCAACATCCTCTCTAGTATCTTCTCACTGTAGAGACAAGGCTTTGGGAAGTCGCTCCAATTCAAGACCATCAGTGAGCTCAGGCACTGGCACTGGGTGATGGGGTCCGGCTTTCATTCGGTGTTCATCTAATTCATATTCAGTAGGGTTCAGGTCTGAGCTCCGGTTAGAGTTCTACACCAGACTCAATGGATCATTTTTATGGCTCTCACTTTGTGCACTTTCATGCTGTAAGAGAAAACGTACCTAATTCTCTAGAGTGTCATTCTGTGCCATTGCAATTAGATTTGCCTTCACTGGAACTTAGCCAAACCCTTTAATTAGAAGAGGGTCTCTGCTTGCTTTTCACTCTGCATACCACAAATATTAGCAGCTAAAACATGAACCATAGTCGTTCACCTGTTATTTGTATGTGAAACAGTTGTAGTTCCTATAAAAACTGCTTTAATGTTTTTTTTGTGTGATTTTAGTGTATTTGCAGGTTGTCAGATTCCCTACCCCAAACGAGAGTTTCTAAGTGAGGATGAACCAGAGGAGAAAACAGAGAAGGTAACAATGGCTGATTTAGAAACTTAGGTTTTGCATCTAGTTCTAATTAGTTTTTTCAGATGTGGTCTTTAGCACTGACTTTCCACACTGTAATTTTGCAAAGAATGAAATCAGATCCTTTTGTTTGGACATTGTAGTTGGTATCCTACCTACATTGGTTGTTAAAGTTATGACTTAAGCGTCAGAGCAACGACAAGAAACACATGAGAGGTAGACTTGACATCAGTTCAGCTCAGGTGCGAACCCGTGAACCGTACCCGAGTCCCTTTTATATGTGACCCTGGAGCACAAAACCAGTCTTAAAGGAACACTCCACTATTTTTGAAAATAGGCTCATTTTCCAACTCCCCTAGAGTTAAACAGTTGAGTTTTACCGTTTAGATATAGTTGTATCTCGGCCAAATATTGTCCTATCCTAACAAAAAAAAATGGCCCTTATGACTGGTTTTGTGGTCCAGGGTCACATATTTGCTTTTCAGACTACCAACCACTGAACTCATTTGAGTCACGTGAAAAAAATGTGACTCAAAAACTGCTGCCTTCCATAGGTGGTTAGTTAATACAGTGGGTTATTGTAAGTATAAGCAGCTTTGATGCTCACGTTGGCAAGGTTGTAGGTCTGAACACTGCAGAGGACATTGTGACCTTGGTGCTCCAGGGAGATTGTCCCTATAAAAAGTACTGCAAGCTACTTTGGATAAATGCATCTGCTAAAATGACTGTTTTCTTATCATCTCTACTGCTAATTCTAATGTTACTCATTCCAGTGGAGCTAAGAGGGAAGCGGCGTGAGCAAGAGCTCAGATAGCAGTGTTGTTAAGCTGTGCACTTGGGCAGTGAAGGATGAAATGTATCCGGGCAAACAAACAAACACACACAGCATAAAATAACCATCTCATGTCTGCGATGCTGGAGTGAGCCAATATTTACTTTAACATTTAGTGGCTTTGGCCACACCATATAATGTTCATGCAACTGCTGCTTTTCTGGGAAGCACAATTTCAGGATGGCTGTGAGTGTATTTGAGGGAATGAACCTTGCAAACATTGCACCCAACATTACAAAGACCTGCAGACCCGGATTGGGTTACAAAAGCACTGATTTACAAAAGGTTTGCGTGTACAAAAACATGCACACTTGACAGCACACAAAAAGATGATCTATTAATACTAGTCTACTTAAGATTGCGTATTTTATTCCCTTGTGTCATTTTTGATGGGTTTCGGTGTAATTTGGGACATTTCTCCATTCATACACAAAAACACAAGACTTTGTCATTGCATACCCAGCGCATTTATGTCAGTATTAAATCATTTAATGTTAGCAATTTATATTTAATTAAGAAAACAACATGACTAAGCTTTGACAGTCTCAAACTATTGCAGCTCGGCATGTCAACAGACATCGTAGGACGTTTTTACAAATATTCCTAGCCTACACAGGACAGCAACTTTTTTTAGAGTCAGAAATATGCCTTTTTTTAATTAGTGGTTGATTGATATAGATTTTTGCTTATGTCTTCGAGATGGATTATATGATATCACACTATTAAATTTAAAGGTAGTTAATAACACATGCACAGTTTCATAAATGTAGATTTATTTTACGTAATATTTACTACAATAAAATCTTTTTAGAATAAATCAATTTGAAAAAACAATAAAAATAAAATGATGCAATAAATAGATTTACAATTCTGTAATTATAGTGTATTTCTTTCTTCATGCAGACAGACTGTCATGCACAGAGTACATGTGTTTTTATGCAGGCTGCACTGTATGCTCTTAAAAGTTATCAGAACTCAAAATATTGAGGTAATCATTGGTAAATCTTTAGGTTTAGATTTGTGCCTATATACGCTTGTTAATTGCACTTAAAATAAGCTTTACATTCTTTGCTGGCCTAGTGGGCCCAATGTAAAAGAAAGAAAGCTCACAAAAAAATTAAAGTTCATATAAATTTAAAGAAACAACATCCAAAATCGTCCAAACAGAAAAACTCTTCAGCCAATGCTGATAATTAAAAAAAAAAAAATTTGTCAAAATTGGTCAATATTTCAGACATGGAATAAAACCTGAGGTGTGCGATACTGTCAGGGTTATTTTCTGTTTTGGTTTAGTTCTGTGTTCCTTGTATCATTTGACCCAGTTTCCTTTGTTCCCATTTTCCCTCCACTCATATGTTTCCATAGTGATTCTGTTAATCATCTGTTTAAACCCTCAGTTTTAGTCAGTTCCTTGTCTGGTATTGTTTGTATGTTTCAGTTGTTGTTTTATGGTTTCTCCTGAGTATTCCCATTGGATTTATTAATAAAGATTGTTAGTTTGTTCTCCTGCATTGTGTGCTTGATCCTGCACAACACGTCACAGATACAAGCAAAAATTATATAAAAATACCCTTCACAATTTTTTACTTAAAAACAATGTCCAAAGTAAACATTTGAAGAATTTAGATTTGCACTGTCATGCATGTTGCAATTAAACAGATTTATAGAAATAAAAACATCTTTTATTTTTACTAGTTTAATTTAATCTCCATGTTTAATCTAAATAAAATGGCACATCACTATTTTTAGTTTACACAAGCATGTATGTTTTCTTTTTAATGACCTCTCATTACTGTTTTTATAGCCTTCCCTGGCACACAATACATTTTTATAATCTCTCTCTCTCTCTCTCTCTCTCTCAATGTATATCTAATCCTGATGTTATTTGAGTGATCCTGAGACAATTCACTTAAACCAATCCTTTCTCTCTCCATATATGCTGGCACAGGACAATAACTAAAGTAACTAAAGGAAAAGGGCTAAATGGAGGGGTAGTTCTTCAACAAAGAGGATGCACTTGTGTTTTATCAAGACCTGAATATAAAGTGGAGTTTGGTGGAGTTTTACATAACCATGACACAAATGATATTTGAAAAGTTCGTTATATTCACCAATATATTGCACACACTGAAATAAATCTGTTATCTGTGAATACTTTGTATGTTCTGCCACTGTATTCTTCTTGTTCAGTTTTAGTGCTTGTTATTGTAAAATAATAAAATCCTGAAATTATTAATGCCCGTTAATGTGGCTGTTAAGCTTTCATTGCTTAAAAAATCAAAGATGGCATTTAAAGCGCAGTGTTGTTGTTTATGGTCTTTAGAATCAGACGCAGCAGCACCAGCAGACGGCTGCACAGACGCAGACACAAACGCAGACACAGCAGGCTCCAACACAGCAGAGCTCAGCGCAGACAAACGGCACATCAGGCACTGCAGGGGCCAACACGGGCCCCTCCATACAGCATGGACAGGAACAGGGGCCACCAAACAAAAAACCTCGCACCTCAGGAACCAGTGTTCTTCAAACAGACTACCAGGTAAGAGAAGCACCTCAAGGGGGCGTTCCTTGTTCAGATTCATTCAAAATACATTATTTATTAATTCATGATCGCTGATTGATTCATTCGAATTGACCAAAAAATTGTCATAAATTTTTTTTTTTTAAATTCAGGATTCTTTGATGAATAGAAAGTTCAAAACAACAGAATTAATTTGAAATAGAAATATTTTCTAAAAGTATAAATGTCTTTTGAATCAATGTGTCCTTGCTGAATAAAAGTATTAATTTCTTTCAAAAAAAAAGAATCTTTAAGACCCTCACAGCCTCGTTTTCATCCTCGTTCAATTCAATATGGCGTCTATACTTAATAACAGTGCCGGGGATCTTAAAGGGACATCTAGTGAGAATTGGTCCCCAAACTAAAGCGTGACCACACTTTCTGTTGCACATGACGTTTCTTTAACACATCGGTGTACAGCGTTTTTCCCATGAAGGAGATTTAAAGCGCAAAGGTTTGTTATATATAGCTAATACCAGTAACTGATAAGCAGTCTAATTGTGTAAGGAAATGCAAATTTTGACTTTTTTTTTTTTTACTGTACCGATTGTTTATGAACCATTGAATTTACGAATGGGCCGATGTGGACGAATGAGCACGCCGTCTTTATCAGATGGACTTGAGGGTGCTTTAAAGATGAAACTGGGGTTGCAATATAATAACTCTGGTGAGTTTCAAAAAATGTTCACTGCGATCACCGCAAGCTGAGATAAAATGTGCCGCGGCAACGGCAGAACCGGGCCACGAGATACAAGCGCTTTGCCCCGTATCCCTCAGGAATAGGAACTAACGTGAGCGGAGCCTAGACATTGCGACTCATCACACTGAGCGCTTGTGCTCTTCGCCAAGACAATAACACAAAAGCAGAATATACCCTCGAGTGTTAGAATCCAAACACGGAGGCACACATTCTCTCGGGGGCTGCTCGACTCAATATAGCGCTATCCGCGGGATCTGATAGTCCTAAAAAGAGCGTCTGAAACGGCCGAGCGCTCGAGCTCGCAACAGAAGCTTTCAAAAGGTTTATACCCTTCTCAAACTTCTCTGCAAGCTCGACCTGTGAACCCCATGATCCTAATCCTAGTGCCTCGGCAGCAGCGGGACCCGAACCACCAGACGCAGATGCTTGTCGCTCATCTCTTGAGAAGAGGGACGAACGCGAATGGGACATTCTCATTGGAAACACTCTCCATGAGCACAGTTAGAGCACCGAACGCGCAACTCCAAACCAAGACACATGACGCATAGATCATGTGTGTCCTCGATGTGTCAGGAACCTCGAGCACGGAGGCAAACACTTTCTACACCTGCCTTGGTCTTTCACACGCACTTCAAACAGTTGGCTCCTAAGACAACAAAAGCACCTGCCTATAATGTCATGGGCCACGTGGACCAATAGGATTGGCATTTTTTCCACACGTGCTTCAGACACTGGTCATGCTGGCAGTATTCCCCAAAGTGTCCGCTAGAGGACGCAGCGCGAGTTCCCTAAAAGGGGAACCAAACTTTATTATGTCTGTATTATCTCAGTGATCTTTTATGAGGTTCTACACATGCGCAGTAAGGTGAATTTAGCATTTTCCAATGTTTTAGTGTGGATTAGAAACATTTGGAAAAATGCTAGTGTGAACGGGGAGCGTTTTGAAATGAAAGCACCGCTTTCAAACCAGATTAATGTAGTAGTCTTAGATGGAGGGTTAGCACCAGATTTTACCCATAAGTTATGAAACCTTGCTTCAGAGTAGAGTTACCACTACTTTTGCATTGTCCCTCCACATTGCAGTGCCAAACATATCACATGTGAAACAGTGTGGTGGTAGAATGTTACAGCTGAATGCTTAGAAACAGACACCCAGCAGACAATCGAGCATTGCAACCATGCTGGTTTGGTCTGGACAGAGGAGAACTGGCCCCCCGACTGAGCCTGGTTTCTCCCAAGGATTTTTCTCCATTTCGGTCACCGATGGCGTTTTGGTTCCTTTGGCTTGCTTAGTTGGGGACG